ACTTCAGGTTCAGTACAGTATTTATAAAATTAGGTTGCACTTCCTATGCACATCAGTGGTTCAACATGGTGAAGCAACAGGAATATTGCATAAAACTATAATTATGATTTTGTTGATATGAAAAGCACTAAGTTAAGATTGCATCAACAGTCTTCATTGCCTCCTTCTTAAAGAGAAAGATCAGTGAAGTCTGCAAGTGTGTGGAAGCCCATTGAAATTTTCCATTGAAAACCTGCCTAAACCAGTAGTGGAACATATTTGAAGTCTTCTCCCCCCTCTTCCCGTTTTGTGCGAAGAAGGCATCTGCAAATATTTATAAACTGGCTTAGTCTGTTAATCCAAGATGACTGCCTTCTGATGTACATTACTTGATTGTAATCTCAAAATTTCGCCGTAGTGCAAGCTGTTGTACAAGATGTTCAGTTGCAAAAGCTGCCTGTTGAATTTAATTCTCCTGTTTAATGCGAAATTTTTTCTACTTCTTTTATTTTTGAAGGGCTATAATAAATCATTCATACCCTGTGGATGCTTGTTTTTATCCTGTTGGGTTTTTGATCGATTAGCAGCTGTGAATTTCAAGAAACTGTAGGTGTCAGGCTGGATGAGTTGAATTAGAGCCAAATTTGAGAGCAATATTATAGTTATAAATTGCTGTGATTTGTTGCAGTAACACCCTGTAATTGAGCTAGTAGACTATAATAAAAATATGGCACATGACAAGATTCGGTAGTTCTTAAAATTTTAAGCCTACTTCGAATATTTTTCACAAAAAGTTTGTATCACTCAATATTTCTTACTAACGAAGAGACTCATAAAACTATGTGATTTTTTTTCTATTCCGAAGTATGCTGAATGGATACCGTATAATGATCATAGTACAGTATTTTATAATACAGTAGCATGCATACTTGTATACCAGGCGTAGAAAAGTAATTTGTATCTGGGTCACCCAGCTTGCCAATTAGAGAACAATCAAGGCCTTTTTCCGAATAGTCTGAATTGAATTTATGCATTTTCCCTGCAAGTACGATTACTCGCTATTTTCCTCCAATCCACTTGAAAAACGCTATTTGCAGCGATCAGACAGGCAGAGCCATCTCCCGTGAAGAATCGCCGTTGCAGAAGTTCAATCAAACACAAACCACATTACTACTGTATTGATTTTCCCAAAAAGGCACTGCTTGGAACATTCATTGCTCATTATTCATTAATCAGCGTGTGACGTTCCAGCTTGCTGACTGATTAAGTTTTTGATAGTGCGGATTATTAGTGGTGAGTCTTGGTTGCACTATTTTTGTGTATAAAGCTTGCCTGTCAAGGTTCCCACCTCAATCGATTGATATTTATGCCGCGTTCCCCCCATATTCATTCCTGGTTGGAACAGCTGATAGGCGGGAGTTAGAAAAGACAGTGAAAGTTGATCTTAATTCCTGCGTTTTAATCTGGAGCGTACGTAAATAATGATAATCAAGCAAGTACCATAATTGGGAGACACTTAAAATGAGGTAGGGGCCATCCGTGATATGTGATGTGACTACCTAAGAAATTGGATGAGTGGCGATATTCATGTTCCAAGCAATTAAGGTCCTTGGAATTAGGAAGTGCTTTTCCAACCTTTTTTTTTAGAGGTGAAGGCACGTTATCGTGGTACTGCTACGTGGAGTCGAATGGTGGAACATGGGAAATTAAATGAGTAAATTTATAATTTGAATTGCTGGATGGTTATCTTAGGAAGAACTCTAGAAGAGGTTAAGATGGTGGCTTAGACGTGAACCTTTTTAATTGTGATGTGCGGACGGTTAAATATGAACAATGTATGTACTGTACACCCATACAACGAAGCGCGGAACGAGAAAGATGCATTTATATTAATTTGAGAGGTTGGTTTTTGATTCTTTGTCGTGTACAGCGTACTACTTGTTTAAGTTGTAAACAAACTGTATGTTCCACCATCGTCTGATCGATGGAAGATCTTCAGATCTGATGAGTCCCATGCAAGAAAGATGAGTAACTCGTATCGTTGGATTTTGCTGATCATAATGTATGCTGATTACCTGGAGTGTCTGTGAGATCATTCCTGTACATACGTGTCTCCTGATTCGTTTCAGTTCCCGGCTCACCGTTTCATTCGGAGAATTTTCGTCCGTTGCTGTGCCGTTGAACAGAGGAACGGTAAAGCTCCTTCAGCCGTTGTTTGTTGTAATTTACTTTTGTATTAGCAAATGTTCAACATCTTTTAACGCAACAGGATTTCCTGATCTTCCTGAACACCCACCATCATGTCGTCATTTGGGTTCTTCTATCCGACGTTGGATGACGGAGACTTTCTGGACCTCAATGCTATCTTCAATGATCCCGGGGTGTTGGACATTGCCATCCCTCCGGCCCCGACTGTCGCGACTCCAGTTGAAGAAACGTTGAGGTCTGTGATGTACCATGACCCGAATTCATACCAAAGCGATGCAATCATGGAGTTGGTCGATTCCTTGAGCTTCATCCCAGATCTTCAGCATGAAATTCCCCAGCAATATGACCAACAGTATGTTACGTTCGAGAGTGAACTTCCTGAAATCAAGCAGGAGCAGCAAGCAGGAGATGACGTTCATACCTGCGAGAGGTGCGGCTTCCTTTCCCAGAGCTATGATGAACATCTTCAGCATTTCACCAATGAACACGCCGCCAAGTTATGTACAAAATGTGGAGCTCAATTCGAAGACGCTTCCGCGCTGGTTCAGCATGAATGTTATCAATCTGCTCCCATGGAGGATTCAAATTCTTCGTTTTCTCTCCCGCAAACGGAAGTTTCACCGGATGTTCAAAGTTCTTCACAGAAACGGAAGCCAGGTCGAAAGAACGCAAATCGGCGTCCAATGGTCTGCTTTGATTGTGGTCTTGTGTTTTTCACGCTTCGGGAACTTCAGACCCACGAAAAAACGCATCGGACTCCAAAGAAACCCCGTAAAACCAAAGAAACCCGTCGCACTGAAGCCGCTACTGCAAGAGATCCGAATATTTGTGATCGATGTGGTAGAGATTTCTTGAGCAAATCGTCTCTTGTTGCGCATTTGAAACGTCATGACACTGTTCGCGAACCAACTTTAGAACGCACAGGTCCTTGCAACCGATGTAAATTCAACTTCGGCTCTTCGTCGGAACCTGGTCCATCTACTAAATGTGATCTCCAACCCTGTGCAGCTTGTGCTCTTGTACTTTGTCCTACACCGGTTACTGAAGCTTCCCTGGAGTCAAATGTGGGACTAATAACGACAAAGAAAGAACCCGAGATTAAGTGCGAAACCTGTGGCGAAATGTTCGATTCGGAGAAAGCTCACGCGGAACACATGCGATGGCACGAGAACAAGGACAACGAATGCGACACTTGTCAACGGCGTTTCAACACAAAAGCGTCTTTGAAGGTGCACAAGAAGCACCACGGGAACGACAAACCCTTCAAATGTTCCATCTGCAGCAAGTCGTTCGCGCATCAAGGCACTCTGAAAGCCCATCAGCGAATTCATACTGGAGAGAAAGCGTTTGCGTGTAAAATCTGCGACAAGCGTTTCACTCACTCTAATGCCCTTATTTATCATAAACGTGTGCACTCCGGCGAGAAACCTTACATTTGTGAACACTGTGGGAAGGCCTTTAGTTCAACATCGACGCTGGTGAAGCACAGACGGATACACACGGGGGAAAAGCCTTATGAATGCGAAATTTGCTCCAAGTGCTTTCTGTCATCTTCTCATTTAAGTACTCATCGTCGCGTGCATACGGGAGAAAAGTTGTACGCTTGTGAGGAATGCGGCAAGCGGTTCTCCCAGCCCTCGTCGCTTACGTACCACAAGAGGTATCTCTCCGAAATAACATCAAATGACTCGCTTAAACTCGTGTATGTAAAAAAAAAATTGGTACCCTCTAAACATATGCAGCTTTTACCTGGAAATCGAACGTATGGTTGATTAAAAAACCGTTACTTCCACATGCAATACATTTTGAGCAATGACCAATTGAATACATTTCTTCGTGACCAACAGCCGTTTGTTGGTTGGGTGACGATCTTAGTGTGTATTTGACGCAAGTGTATGATTTGAAAAATAAGGACGCATTCGGGAGAGAAACCTTATGGCTGTGAAAAATGCGGAAAACACTTTTCCTCGTCGTCTTACCTGAATGAGCATCGGCGGCGACACACGGGTGAGACCCCGTTTTGCTGTGATGACTGTGGGAAGGGGTTTCCGTCTAGCTCAGCACTCACTAAGCATCGTCGTGTCCACAACTGACCCGGTTTCATTTCCCTGTGGTTCTGGGATTGTCCGCAAGATGTTGGCCATGAGCTGCTAGGTTTATCCTTGTCATCTGTGATGATATTATCAATATTGTTTTCCATTGCGTGATCGCGTGTTGATGAATAATATTTGAAGGCGCCTATGTGCATGGTTTTCTGATAGATCTAGTCGAGTGCGTGTGATGGCGGAGATGAGGATATGACCAGTTCATACCCCTTGTCGGTATTATTTACTGATGGGCTTGTATTCTGTGTTGTGAGGCTATTTTAGATTGTCATCTATTCCAGACAGCAGACCTCCAAAAATTAGCTGGACGGAAAGAAATTAGATTCCGGGACTCACGGAAAAGAATTCTGAAAGAAATACTATATTACCGTGAACAGCAAGAATACGCAGAAATTCAAGAGAACTATTCCCAGCACGATGAAGAACGACGCAGCTTATGTCTTCCTTCATTGAACAGTTTTCACGTTCTATCACGTTTCATGAAGTATCATTCAACGCAGAAATAGTTAGTGAATTATCGATGGACAAAAAATCCTTCATTAATGTTTAACTCCCTTTTCGGGGGTACCGTTTCATCGCGAGGATGCGATGATTTTCGTGAAATACTCGTGAAAAATGTCAGAAGTTTTTTCACATACGGAATTCTTCAAATTCAATCTTAGATATAGCAAGATGCTTATGTTTCGTCTGATATGTGGGTATTTACGAAGACAGAAACTGTGGAAACCACCTGAAATCATAATTGCGTGGAATTTTTAAATGAATGAGTGCGTGATGAATGCACGCGACACGGGCTGTAATTATCAGAATTAGTAAAAATTCCTGATTCACAGTTATATGCACATAATTAGGTTTGATTTTAAGTTGAAATCATATCGACGAATCCTCCTCGTATTCCCTGTGAATGCAAAAGAATTTTCATAGTTTTGCTTATAAAAGTCAGAAAACTTCTGAAAATTTATAATTCTGGATAATAAACGAGTCAGGAATTAATTTTTTTCCGGACTATCACAGTTGAGAATTCCAGGCGGTTCTTGCTCGAATTATTCTCGGCTAATGGGCTCATCTTTCAGAATTATTTGGTCTTCTTAATCGGTACGAATCAGAAGAGCAAGTATAAAATCAGCAAGCCACAAAAGTCAGGTTTTTTAAGTAACCACAATTCATGTTATTGATACTGTACTGTGCCTGCTTTTTTGCACGTCTGAGATTTTGAGACTATCCTTTTGTACATATTCATTTTTCTTAAGGCTACGTGTCATTGTCTCAAAATCGGTCTTTTAGGAATACCTCCGTTGATGTTGAATCATGTTTTTTTTTATAGCTGGGATCGTTGAATTATCGCCATTTCCAGTGCGGAAAGTGTTCCAATTTTATGGGATTTTTGTTCTGTCAATTCTGCTATATTTAATGTTCACGGATTGAAGCTTTCTTCGTGTTTCTTGTGCCAAGTGACGTGACCCTGAAGAAACTGTGTGGTATTGAGTGTCGAAAACTTTACAGTGTCTTCGACTTTGACAGTGTAAATCAGAAGCGGGTTTTCTGTGTTCAAGGCGTGCTCCAGGAAATGTTGAAATTCTTCCGTATCAGACTTTTTGCCATGTTCGAGTTCATGAAAATTTGCAATCATCTGATAGTGTTGAAATTTCTCCCACCGCACGAATTTTTTGGTCTCCCTGGAAATTTCCTGAATTTTGTGTCTCGTTCGCGCGTCGAATGTCGCTTCTGCGCCTGCCGCGTTGATCTCCAAGTTTTCATTTATGTTTGTTTTTGACCTTGCAGATTTGCTATGGTGTTCAAGAGTCACATTTTCCGTGAAACGCTGCCCAGCGGCAAAAAAGTGACTATCCGCGTTCTTCGGCTCGACGGTGCGGTTTTCATATGGGTCCACAATGCCTCCGATGTCAATGAATCCACGTTTTCTATGCCACATTTGGCATTTTCCTTACCGACTAGATTTGACAAGGAAACAGGAGGGCTTCCGATGAACAAAGTCGTGTTTGGAAGTGATTCTGACAATGTTTCTCGATGTGCTTCGCGACTTGCGTTGGTTGTGAAGAAGTCGTGTGGGAAGCCAAAACAAGTGTTCCTGTCATTTGATTCTGGTGGACCAGGTTCTATGTCGGGTGGTGTGACTGGCGAACATGATGGAGTCGAAGCCAGGCTTGTGGAAATTATAAAACAACGACCGGAAATTTTTTAAGTATCCGGAAATATGATGGCTTTCTGTGTAATTTTTTTGAATATAAATCGTGCGCATTAAATTTGGAATTTTTCCCGTTTATGTACGCATGGTGTCCCGATTTCGTGATTTTACTCTGGTCTATCGTACTCTGAAACTTTTTTCGTGGTCTGATGAGTTAGTCATTGTACGTTATTTTCTCAGGTTGAGTTCAGTTAGGTTGGATTAAGTCACGTTTCCTTTGGTTGGGTTTCTGTGTATCAGGTTTGTTAGAATTCTTATTTTTTGGTCAGGTTCAAGAATGAGGCGACACCTCTTCGACGTTTCAGAAACTCTTACCGGCATTTGAAAACGTGTTGAATTCTTCGCGTGTGTAATGCCTAGAAGAAATATTAATATGTGTAACATTCTTAGTTAAAATCGTTGTTTGTCAGAATTTTATATTGTGTATTAATTTTGAAATTTTCTGCGAAGGACCATTGTCACTTTCATAGTTCGATCAGTCGAAGAGCTCTGAACGGGTGCGTTTGATGTGATGTTATTTTTTTTTTCTGGTCGAGTGTAACCTCGATTAAGAGAGAATCTGATTCAGTCAAGTTTCTGGTCCCGGAAGTTCGTTAGATCGATAATTTGAAACCATTTGGAATGTCTAATTTGTTTCTTATGCTTATTGAAAGATTCTTTCGTATTCTTCGTCTAGTTGAAGATGGTTTCTGAATTATTTCGCTTTTCTCTTATGTTTTAGGAAACTCATCAAATTGTATCCCCTGTGCTTGTATCATCTGCGATCAGGTCTCCAAATACGTCCAAGTACGCTTAATGCCAGAAACATTCTAGTACTTCCAGGTCATTCAAACCACAGACTTCTACTTAATGAAACTCAATGCAAAAACTGCGTCGGAATTCGTTTTTGTTTGTTTGTCAAGCTTGAAAGAAAGACACACGAAATCTAGGAAACCCATATTTAACACAATTCTAATTTTTGTAAATTTGAGACGAAAAAATTATTCTGTCATTCCTGGAAATCAGATCTTCGACTTCTTCAAAGATTGATCTTTGCCGTCGTTAATAATTTCTGCGAAAACTGTTCTACGCTAAGCGTCCGTTAACCAGGGTACCGAAGATAACCTTGTTATCAGGTTAATTTATTTATCTTGTTGAACGTCATTCTTTTGTATGAAATTATTATTTTCATTCATTTGTTTTATCGCAGGAAAATTCGTAGTTGGTGTTAATCTTGGTGCATCGGGGTCAAATGGTTGCGGCGTACGCGAGTGATCACGGAAGCGAGTTTTTCTTCGGTGAAACCGTGGCGGACGGAAGTGAGCGCGATGGGGCGGAAGCTCCAGGTCCGTTCCGCTGCCCGATTTGTGACGTGGTCACCGGAAGTCAGGAAGAACTCGAGTCTCATTTCGTTCTGGTGCACGACGACCAACACATGCAGGAGGTAAGACGTCTGGATGTATTTTTCTTCTTGGAGCAATGGAAAATCGACGTCTTCCGTTAGCTTCTTTTTTTGTTGTTGTTGCAAGATTATGAATAGGGCCTGACATTTCGTGGAGTAAAAACTGAGACACTAACTGTAAGAGCAGCTGTGACCTGGAATGCGTGAATTTGTGTGACGAAGCGTTCATCGTCTTTTCTCAGTCTAGATCTTTCATTCAGCGATCTTCTTTCTCGTTATGTAGGTGTCGCTTGAATTTAGTCAATTCATTGAGTGCTTCGAATTTTTTTTTTTGCCTGCACCTGTCCGGCGTGAAAAATGTTGAAGGCGTCAAGTTTAGAGTAGAGGAATTATTCATGTATTTCCGAAGGATTTCTATACTTCGATGTTCGCTGAATAAATAAAAAAATTCCAGAAGTTACGGAAAATAATTTGGAAGAAATGTTTGCTGTAGAATTACTTGATCAACTTTTTCACCGCAGCATCATTTGAGGTTGAAGATGGAATGGCTCATCTGCTTCATAGGGATGATTAAAGCTAATTTTTTTATCTTATTATTGCTGAAAGCTGTCCTTTTTCTGAATTACCTTGCTATTCTTATAAAGGTTAACTGTAGGTAATTTACTGCAGCATACGAGGGTTCTAACAAAAGTTCTCGGAGTAGCAATGAAAATGGCATACAATTGAGCTGAAAAAAATTTAGTCTCTAGCCAAAACATATTCTTTGGCACATAAAAAAAATCAGCCCGGTTTGACAATTTTTTCAAATTTTTTTGCAAAATTCATCCATATAGAGTTTTGCTCTCCACTCAAAAAATGAGGCGCCCTTTTTTTGTTGTAGCCCAGCTTTCCCTTCAGAATTTTTGAAATCAACTTGGCATGCTTTCTNGCGACTTGCGTTGGTTGTGAAGAAGTCGTGTGGGAAGCCAAAACAAGTGTTCCTGTCATTTGATTCTGGTGGACCAGGTTCTATGTCGGGTGGTGTGACTGGCGAACATGATGGAGTCGAAGCCAGGCTTGTGGAAATTATAAAACAACGACCGGAAATTTTTTAAGTATCCGGAAATATGATGGCTTTCTGTTTAATTTTTTGGAATATGAATCGTGCGCATTAAATTTTGAATTTTTCCTGGTTATGTACGCGTGGTGTCCCGATTTCGTGATTTTACTCTTTTCTATCGCTCTCCAAAACTTTTTTCGTTGCCTGATTGAGTTAGTCATAGTACGTTATTTTCTCAGGTTGAGTTCGGTTAGGTTGGATTAAGTAAGTCACGTTTCCTTTGGTTGGTTTTCCATGTGTCAAGGTGTATCAGGTTTGGTTGAATTCTTATTGTTCGGTCAGGTTCAAGAATGAGGCGACACCTCTTCGACGTTTCAGAAACTCTTAACGGTATTTGAACACGTGTTGAATTCTTCGCGTGTGTAATGCCTAGAAGAAATAGTAATACAGTATGTGTAATATTCTTCGTTAAAATCGTTGTTCGTCAGAATTTTATACAAAGGATTAATTTTGAAGTTTTCTGCGAAGGACCATTGTCACTTCCGTAGTTCAATCAGTCGAAGAGGTCTGTCTGGGTGCGTTTGATGTGATGGTATTTTTTCTGGTCGATTGTAACCTCGATCAAGAAAGAATCTGATTCAGTCTGGTGTTTCTGGTCCCGGAATTCGTTAGATCGATAATTTGAAACCATTTGGAATGTCTAATTTGTTTCTTATGCTATTATTGAAAGATTCTTTCGTATTCTTCGTCTAGTTGAAGATGGTTTCTGAATTATTTCGCTTTTCTCTTATATTTTAGGAAACTCATCAAATTGTATCCCCTGTGCGTAGCATCTGCCATCAGGTCTCCAAATACGTCCAAGCACGCTTAATGCCAGAAATATTCTAGTGCTTCGAGGTCATTCAAACCACAGACTTCTACGTAATGAAACTCAATGCAAAAACTGCGTCGGAAGTCGTTTTTGTTTGTTTGTCAAGCTGGAAAGAAAGACACACGAAATCTAGGAAACCCATATTTAACACAATTCTAATTTTTGCAAAATTTGAGACGAAAAAATTATTCTGGCATTCCTGGCAATCAGATCTTCGACTTCTTCAAAGATTGATCTTTGCCGTCGTTAATAATTTCTGCGAAAACTGTTCTACGCTAAGCGTCCGTTAACCAGGGTACCAAAGATAACCTTGTTATCAGGTTAATTTATTTATCTTGTTGAACGTCATTCTTTTGTATGAAATTATTTTTTTCATTCATTTGTTTCATCGCAGGAAAATTCGTAGTTGGTGTTAATCTTGGTGCATCGGGGTCAAATGGTTGCGGCGTACGCGAGTGATCACGGAAGCGAGTTTTTCTTCGGTGAAACCGTGGCGGACGGAAGTGAGCGCGATGGGGCGGAAGCTCCAGGTCCGTTCCGCTGCCCGATTTGTGACGTGGTCACCGGAAGTCAGGAAGAACTCGAGTCTCATTTCGTTCTGGTGCACGACGACCAACACATGCAGGAGGTAAGACGTCTGGATGTATTTTTCTTCTTGGAGCAATGGAAAATCGACGTCTTCCGTTAGCTTCTTTTTTTGTTGTTGTTGCAAGATTATGAATAGGGCCTGACATTTCGTGGAGTAAAAACTGAGACACTAACTGTAAGAGCAGCTGTGACCTGGAATGCGTGAATTTGTGTGACGAAGCGTTCATCGTCTTTTCTCAGTCTAGATCTTTCATTCAGCGATCTTCTTTCTCGTTATGTAGGTGTCGCTTGAATTTAGTCAATTCATTGAGTGCTTCGAATTTTTTTTTTTGCCTGCACCTGTCCGGCGTGAAAAATGTTGAAGGCGTCAAGTTTAGAGTAGAGGAATTATTCATGTATTTCCGAAGGATTTCTATACTTCGATGTTCGCTGAATAAATAAAAAAATTCCAGAAGTTACGGAAAATAATTTGGAAGAAATGTTTGCTGTAGAATTACTTGATCAACTTTTTCACCGCAGCATCATTTGAGGTTGAAGATGGAATGGCTCATCTGCTTCATAGGGATGATTAAAGCTAATTTTTTTATCTTATTATTGCTGAAAGCTGTCCTTTTTCTGAATTACCTTGCTATTCTTATAAAGGTTAACTGTAGGTAATTTACTGCAGCATACGAGGGTTCTAACAAAAGTTCTCGGAGTAGCAATGAAAATGGCATACAATTGAGCTGAAAAAAATTTAGTCTCTAGCCAAAACATATTCTTTGGCACATAAAAAAAATCAGCCCGGTTTGACAACGATGCCGGCAGCGTGTGCTAAAAGGGCGTCGGCCGCCTGACGCGTCTCCAGGTGCAACCGGGCCTCGTTCAACCAGTCAGACGCCACGTGGCGAGGGGCCCCTTTCAGCAGGTTCATGTACTTGACAGCCTGGATCAAATCGTCGCGATGCAAGTAGAACCTGTAAAATGACGGGGGAAAAAGAGGAATCATTACCTACGTGAATGATTCTGAGAAACGAAAAACTACGCAGATTCAATATGAGTCTTCCTCATGGTCAGTTCAATACGGCACAAATTACAATATCTAGAGACCAGTGGAATTCCTCCCGTGGTCCGCAGAAGTGTTTTGTCGGTCCACGGGAAATTTGCTTTGGCACAAGAAATGAATCCAAGGAAGAAATGAGGTATGTTATCTTCATCTGGAACTTGGGTAAGACTACGGCAGATGAAATTATGTAATGAAAAATAAAAGATGGATTTTCTCTTAATAAAACTTCAGCCAAATAGCCGCCTTCACAGCCGCCAAAATGGCGGCCAATGTGGCGGCTGTGAAGGCGGCTATTGATGAAAATGGCGGAATTGCATTGGATGACTTGGAGGCAACCCTTAGAAAGCATGCCAAGTTGATTTCAAAAATTCTGAAGGGAAAGCTGGGCTACAACAAAAAAAGGGCGCCTCATCTTTCGAGTGGAGAGCAAAACTCTATATGGATGAATTTTGCAAAAAAATTTGAAAAAATTGTCAAACCGGGCTGATTTTTTTTATGTGCCAAAGAATATGTTTTGGCTAGAGACTAAATTTTTTTCAGCTCAATTGTATGCCATTTTCATTGCTACTCCGAGAACTTTTGTTAGAACCCTCGTATGTAGACAATTTCAAACCATACCCGTTCCTCGATTTTGTTGGTTCTATTGTTGAAAACAAGATTAATTTTCAAGAATTTTCTCAATACAGGAATTCGTCGAGTTTTTAACGAGCCGCCTAATGGAATGGTTCTGTTTAATGGGTGATATTTGGATGTTAACACTTGAACGTATTACGTAGGAATTCTCACTCGTTCATCTCTTGTCCCATTAATCCACAAAGCGGATTACTGGATGCTATCTCGAAATTTGGTGGATTTTTCACAATTTTCTGGTGCTTGACATTTTTTTGGTGCCGTTTTTGAATTTTTGTGATTCGATAACTCGAAGAAATTCTCTGAAAAGTAATCCGTGAAATTTTCCCGCTCATCAATTTTTCAGTGTATTCTGTCACTAGGAAGAAACTTTCGAAACGTGTTGTGATGCCTTTGTTGTGTTGTTGTCAGGTAGACGTCATTTTGTCGTGCCCTGTCTGCCATGACGTGGGATTCAAAGATGCCGAAGCGTTGAATATCCATGTTAATCGGCATTTCGGTGATACGGCTAGAATGGATGTTGCCCAACCAAGTGCTTCGAATCCAACACGTGAAATGGAAGAGAACGGGAGAGTTTCTAAGAGGACCAGTTCGCCTTCTCTGCCTGTAAGTACAGGTTTTTTGAAGCAACGACTTAAAAATTTTGAAGTGCGGTTCTATGAGTCGCATTGGTCAAGGATATGCGACTATGAGTCGCACTTTTTTGGGCACTCGCCAAAAAATGAAAATTCTAAGGATTAAAACTAATAAATCAAAAGCTGGTTCAAAATTTTTTATCCAGATGTTTGTGCAAGAAAAAAAAATCATTATTTAGGTTCTATAATAAAGCAACGTGCGGTACTGTATTGTGGAATTTCTATTGAAATTCCGAACTTTTTTGGTTGTGCAGGTGGATTCTCTCTACAATCCATTTCTCCGTGAAAATACTTTTTCTGGTCCCGTTGGATTCTCTCCCCATGTTAAAGGAGTCCCAACAACGACATTATCTGTACAGCGCGTTTTTTTCTGGCCCCCTTGAATTTTGTTGTTGAGGGAGTCCACCTGTAATTTTCATTTTATTGTTTTGGAAACATCTCCAGCTCACTATTCAACAAAAAAGAGGCACTCTCCTTGTTCTGGCCTGTCCAGCACCCCGCTTCAAGCAGGCCCTTGAGGCAAAATACATTGTCATAGCTGACCCATTGTTGGTTGTAATCTGATAAAAAGGCGAAACACTGTATGCCTCTACGATTGTGTTGATTAAAATGTCGAAAAGACAAGGATTCTTCAACTTGAAAGATTTTAATGGATAACTGATGTGCATATTTTCTTATACGGTACAATCTTCTTTCATTCAATGAATGCGTTTTTTGCGTGCTCTCGTGTTTTATTTTCATTCTGTCGTTTTTTCGGCTTCCAGGCAAGTTCTTTCGCAAAGCGACGAAAATTTGAAAACGAATCTGCTTCAGGAGACGTGAGAGTTGAGAGAGCTTTAAATGCTCTTCGCGTGCAGCGGAAAGACCACCTTTTATCGCAAATGCAAAAAGGATCTTTGTCATATGTTGACTACCACATGCAGGTCATTCACGGATCCAGGGCTGACATAATAGGCATTGACGACGATTACTCGCGTACAGCAGGTTAGTTCCTGCAAAATTTTTTAACTGTATTTTTAAAAATGTATGGAGATTTTGAGATGGAGTGCTCCAAGCGACGTTGTCTTGATGGAAGTTTATCGTAATTATTTCTGAATGGTACGATTTATTCGAACCAATACCAAGATAATGGAAAGTGTGACTGTATTTTTGGAATTTCTTGAAGTTTGAATGATGTTCGTGGAAAATTCCAGGAATTGGGATACATTGTACTCCATGATCTTGGTTAGAGCGAAAGAATAAGCTCTTTTCGAATGTTGGAGGAACAACAACAACATTTGTTCTTCTCATCCAACATATACTAAAATAATTGAAAATATTTCGAGCATTATGTAGGATTCAGAGCTGACCTGATGTTGAATTATTTCAGGGTTATCGGAAATGGTGTTGGGGATGTGTAAACAAATAGATGCCACGGCTCAAACCTTGATTGCTCCTCATGTGGATCATTTTTCTGTGACATTCCATGATCGTGGATGGGGCTGTGGCTACAGGTGAGCCGAATATTTTTCGCTCAAGGTGAACAAATGAATAAATATCGTAGTTACGCAATTATAGTCCGCACGTGGAACTGACGTGGAAGTTTTGATGGTTTAATTGAGTAATACGAGGGTTATCCGATTTATACGCGGCCTCTGATATTTATTATGTGTGATTGCAAAAAAAAAAAAATGTTGACATAGCCCATGATTTTCTATCGTTCTGGGATTTTTTTAAATTTTCAGTTTACTGCAGGATGATGAGTGAAAACTTCCCAGTTACTGCCGGAGGTCTCCACCCATGTCACAGGATGATAAACATTTTCAGGCCACTATCATAAAATTACGAGCTATTTTGTAAATCTGAAAAAAATCCCACATCCTTAGAACATCATGATTATTTTTTTTACAATTGCACCTACTCTAAGAATAATATTTCAAAAATATGTACTGTAGTGAACATAAGGTGACAAAACGCCTAGAAATGTTGGATGCTTGTATCCTGGGGTCGGATTCCTGTTGCTAAATTTCCTCCAGAATTCTTTAACGTTTCTTCGGTGGATCTCTATAGACTGAAATCCGCAGTTGAGGTTGTTTCTTTCGGAGTCCATGGTTTCGAGAAAATTTTGGTTTTAAATCGACGAAATACGGTATTGGTTTGTTCATACAGTTCTTCAATTTGACGAGAAAATCAGCGATATTTCTTTTCTTTTTTGCGTGTAGGAACATTCAAATGATGTGGTCAGCCTTGAATCACAATCCGGTGTACCAGCACGTTCTGAAGAGTGTTGTGGGCATTCGCGGTGCCGACGGTTTCAATGAAAATCAAATCAAGGAAGCCGTGCCGTCAGTTATCCGGTTGCAAGAGCTAATTGAGAAGGCCTGGGAAGCTGGGTATGACATAGATGGCGGACTTCAGCTCGGAATGAAGCTCGTTGGAGGCAGTACTTGGATTGGGGCGACTGAAGCCTACTCTTTGTTCGCATCGCTCGGAATCAAGTGCGTATGAAATACAGTACCTTGACCGCCATACTGAGTAATGGGGAAATCTTGTTGTCTCTGCGGAAATTTTTGAAAATTTTTCTGCCTGCACAGGAAGAAGGTTTAATCTAAGTATCGTGCTTTCATATTTCATTTACCGAACTCACAAGAGGGTTGTCACTATGTCGCGCATCATGGAAGACAGGTGGACTCCCTCTGAAACGACCTTGACTGCCACGATTCTCTTGGTTTAAAGAATTTTTGTGGTCCCGTAGGGTTTTTACCCAATTTTTGTGGGGGTTCCGTGCAGCGAATTTTGTTTGGGCCTTTCGAAGTTCGTTGTAGAGAGAGACTCCACGTGTATTTCCAACGGTGGTACGAAGTCGAAGAAAAAATTCATTTCCTAATGAAGTTCTAAGACGCCGTTTTTTTCAATTTTTAGGGCTATTTTTAGTACCCTGCTCGATAAGGAGGGAAAGCTTGTCTATTTCCGTCTGAGTTTTCTACTTATTTCATAGTGAAGTAAAAATTTGTTCAGTGGGAAAAGGATGTAGTAGAATCTCTTCGCAAATAGGTGCTTGGGACCTCATAAAAGCTTAATTTGAATACAATGTTATTATAACGAAATAGAAATAATGTTATGGCTAATTTGGAGGGGAAAAAAATATTTGCAAGCAATAATACGTTTGAGATTTTACTCTGAATACAAGTTTGAAATCATTTTGTGTGTGTGTTGCTTATCATCTTTTTCACATCTTGTGAGGTTTTCAAAATCTTTGGCTTAAAACCTTATTTAAAAATTATAAAAATGAAAATAAAACCTCTGGCGATTGTGTTGGCCAAAAGGGGTTCGTTTCTTTCCTAGCTCAATTTTTTCACTGAAAGTACGCACGTCATCGGGAAAACCATGGTGAATTTAATTAATTTTCATCGACGAAAACGGGAAATCTTCGGAAAAAACAGATTTTATTCCCCGAGAAATAGTTACGAAATATGCCTACCATTTTCGTTCTGCAGCCAAGGATTGCGAGTGCACAAAAAATGGTTTCAATTTTGTGTACAGTACCTCTGCTTTGAAGAAAATTGTTGGAGGAAAAAATTAAAGTCCTTTTTTCGTTGAATGTTTTTTTGCGATCAGATGTCGTCTTATAGACTTTTGGAAGGCGTCGGGTCCGAACCGGACGCACCCGGAATTGTTCTCCTTCCTCGAACGGTACTTTACGGAAACGGCGGACCCGAAGGCGCCGGTGTATTTACAAGAGCACGGCCACTCGTTGACCATCTCAGGTTTCCAGCGGCGGCGCAACGGCCGTTCTTACGCCATCGTATTTGACCCGGGCCACCGAGCCCAGGAGACTATGCAGATTTGTAGGCGGGTGCGACGTTCTGCAGCTGCCAAAAGTACGCCGTCGGATGAAGCCGCCGCAGTGTTGTCGCCGCTTTTTCGAGGCATCAATTACTTTAAGGCGGCGCAGTATCAGCTCCTTGTTCCGATCCGAGTCGCCTTCTCACAACAGGAACAGCAGGTGAGGACTACTGTTTTTTTTTTCTTTCTTCCTACTCTCCTTTTCAAGGGGAATACCGTATTTTGCGACTCTTGGTCATACCCTGATCGTAGGCGAGCGATGGGGAGGTAACAATCATTTTTAGACCGCAGAATTGTCGGTAGTTTTTGCCTCCGGAGGTTTTGAAAATGTGGCAGATGTCGAAAAATATTTTCTGTGAACTCATCACCAACTTGTTCTTATCTCAAAAACAGCTATACCTCAATAACTTGAATCTCCATACTTCGAATCTTTGTTCAGTCCCTTTCTGAATCCACTTATAAAAAAAAGTTTTATAGTCCTCCCTGATTCGAAGACTTACCATCTCAAGGCTGTATTAATTTTTGGAGGCCTTTGTGTTATTATTCTGGGAAAACAGGAAAGAGAAAAGCTATTGAAGTTATTCTTTTCAAAAGGAAGTCATGGACTCATTGGGCGAATATATTCTCGTCGCCAAGTTCAGGAGCTGTATTAATTGAGCAGCTTAAGACCCAAAAGATCACTATATTTAACTTCTTGTGATTTTTATTTTTTTTCTCATCAAAAATACGAGTTTCCTCAGGTCAAACCCTTTGGCAGTCCCTGTTACGGATGGTTTATGTTACATCGGTTGCTTTTTGATATTTGTTCAAATTAGATGCTTGCATTTTTAAAACAAGAAAAACTCTCTGGGTCATATCTTTTCGGAGTTCAATTCAAAGAATTCGTATGGTTCAGTCGTATTACGATTTTTATTACAATAAAATCAGAGAGGTCGCGGCGTGGACTGATTTTGCTGTGAAAACACTTGTTTCTCATCATGACGCCTTTCTTCTAAAAATTCAAGTTGCCAGTTTAAAAGAAAATGACCTTCGAGTTACATTTCGTAAGATTTAGATTTGAAGAACTTGTATCGCAATTTTTTCGTGCCTCTCAGTTCGTTATAACGGGATTGTACCCGTCCAGTACTGCATTTGAACTGTCAAGGAATTGTTCGTTTCAAATTCAAGTAACTCGAACCTGAAATATAATCTAGACGCTAGAGTATAGGCCGCAGTATTCAACTCAGTGCGGTTTTTAGAGGAGATATTTCGAGCATGGGCCACATTTTCTCGTTATTCCACCATCCCAAAATGCGGTCGTCCTCTTCGGAACTCGGGATTTGTTTCAGTATCTTTCCGCTATTTGCATGACGCATGCACAAGTGCCACGACAGTTTTATGCAAATTTCTTTCTTTGCAAAATAAATGGGTATTTCTGTGCGGAGTGAACTACTGTACTGTACGATGCAGTACTGTACATTATCCAACGTGGGCCCATTGAAAACTTGAAAATTTTGAACGACTATATCACGAGGATAAAATCATCCTTCGTTTCAAAATTATTGAAATGAAAGACGTGTTTCTCTGTCGCGTATCGGGAAGAACTCGGATATTTTTGCCTCAATTTTCCCACGACTTCGCTGATTTTCCGGACAAGTTGAGGCCACACCAAGGCGCTTTTCCTGGATGAAGCCTTTTTCCGGTTCGTGGTTCAGTTTTGTTGTTGCTGGGAGTTCTACATTCACCCCGTCTTGCCTTTGACTCTTATACTATTTAGGTTTTGGATTTTTTTTTTTAGAGAATTTTGGGTCAGGTTCGATGATTATAATTCTCTGCGTGGAGGTAATTTACTCAAGCCTTGGGCGTTTATCTTTCTTTGGTTGTTTCCATCCTCGGAGATATTCTCACGCAAGAGTATTTTATGAATGAGAAGCGCGGAGATTTTTGCCGGAAGTGAACAAATTTGAAAAGGTTTTGTCGCATCAATCATATTACTGTTTTCTGCATGCCAAATCGGAATGTTGAATTTTCCGCCGTATAATCCCTGTTCATTTTTCTCGTCTACGCGCTCAGTATTTCATTTTATGGCGGATAATGAATCTAACTGACCCAAAACTAATTTCTTTGTCATCAGATCAATTTTCTGGTTCGTCCGCAGTTTTTGTTGAACAGTATTCCTGATGGATTGCGGAAAAAGTTGGAGATACTGTTCTTAGATGCTTGAAACCTTTGAAACTTGATTAATTGAGTATAAACTGGGATGAAACTTATGTTTACTTACGCGTTTCGGTCTTTTTCTCGTTTTTCTGAGTCAAAATAGCTAAGAATTGCGTTTCCTTTCCGAGGAGTAGAAATTCTTGGTTTTTCCCGGAAGATGATAAAATTGTTATTTTTTCACGCGTTCCCGTGGCGAAACAATGAAATCAGAATTTATTGCTATTTTATTTGTCTAAATTCGCGCGCGTTTGTGGTTGTGAAAGACAAGGAATTACAGTTTTTCTTACTTGAAAATTGCACCACCGAGTAGGTTTTTTATGCGGGCTGATTTTTCGCTGGGCGAAGCGTCCGTTAAGCGGGGTCAAATTTTGTCAACACGAACGTAGGCAAAATCACCTTTGCTTCAGTAAGAACCAAAAAGAACTGAGAATTTAATACATTAAAATCGTGGGATTTCTTGTGTTCTTTTGCTTTTCCCCTGACCCGGAAGCGATGAATATTGCGTGATCGCGTGCGTAACTTTTCTCGATCCAAGAATTATCTCATCCACTTTCGAAAAATAGCTACAAAATTACAAAGGTCTCTTCAAAACGAGAGGTCAGAAAGGTTTGATCCATGGGGGTCATGAATGAGTTCATGCGACTAGTACGAAGATGAAGGAAGAACTTGGGCAACAACCACAAAATGCTGAGGAAAGCTCCGTACCATTTATTGAAGAGGACGGATCCTCTTCAGACGTGAGGGAGAATCAACTTTCATCCCGTCTGATTTTAAGCAAGTGTCGATACGAAATAATTTTTTGTGGTATTTTTCTAGATAATAAAACTTGCTCAAATATAATTCTCATACTCCGGGTAATGCGATGATTATAGTATATAATAAGCAGTATTACTAAAGTATCTGCCACAATTCGCATATGTTGTCATGCGAGAAATATTTTTACTGTGTTCAAAAATTATGGATGGCATTATTATCTAAAATCCAGCATCTTCTTTTTTTTTTTTTAATGTGAATAAGTTGAAAACAGTTATCAACAACTATACTGTACACTCACTTCAGTACGAATGTTCAACGTTTACTCTTTCACAATTGTATGAAAATTAAGTACGGGTTTGCTTTTAAATGCTATCTGAAGCCAAATCAATAGACTCCGTCCGAGTCTTCTGTTCGAAGGAAAAAGTCTTGTGTGGGGTAAGGCGTCAGTCCATTATCCGGAAACCGGGAGTCTCGGAAAATACCTTCCAGAGAAGGTTCACAGGGTTCCTTTCACAGTTATCCTTTTTTGTTTAATAGCCCGTTCAGTAAAATTAATTTAATTTTTTTTAGAGGAAATTTGATTCCAGAAAACTTGCAAGTTACAGTCATGCTGCATGTATTTTTACGGAGTCTTTTCTTCATCTGGAGCAGGGTTCACTATCCGAACCGAAATCAGTAGTTGGCATCCCAATTTATTCGAAACATTTTTGTGCGAGCTGTCAGTCCATTATCCGGGGTACCGCCATGCATTGCTTTGTTCCCTGCGCTTTTGAAAGCTTAGTAAAGAACCAACCTAATGAAAGGATTTTCCTTGGTATAGGATATAGAAAATTTGATTTCAGAGCACTTATACTGTAATTTTAGAAAAACATCTAGTTTTTTTTCTATTCGAAATAGGGTCTACTATCCGAGGACAAAGCATTAGTTGGCAGCCCGAGTCTATTGTTTTTAAAATATCAATTTCTTATGCGACGTGTTCGTCCATTATCCGGGTTTCCTCCGTGCATTAGATATAACTGACAACTAGAGAACATTATAATTTTAATGTTTGATTCTTTGAGAACATTTAATTCCGGAAAATGTCTAAAAAACGCTATATTTGAATACAGTATATATTTTTCTTCTAATCCGAAACTAGGTTCCATTTTCGAAGCCAAGTGGCATCCCGAGTCTAATGTATGCAGAAAAAACTAAATATCGTATGCGAGCTGATTTATCCGTCCGCTATCCGAGGTACAATCGTGCATTGAATTTTATTTTCAGTACAGTGTCATGAAAATGTCTTTCAGAGAAGGTTTACAGGGTTTCTTCAAAAAATATCCTCGATTTTGAAAATATCCCGTCCAGTAGGATTGATTTCCTTTAAAAAAAAAAAAAAAGAAATTTGATTCCAATAACGTTTTACAATAACGCCGTAATTTTTACGCGGTCTCGTCTTTTCATCCGGGACATGACATCCCGAGTGCATCGCTCGAAGGAAAGAAAAGAGTCTTGCTTGAGTATTTATCCGTCCGTTATCCGAGGTGCCGCCATCTTCGTGCGTTGCATTGTTCTTTGCGCGCACAAGAGGGAATTACTGCACCGTGCATTTTTTGGCGTTGCTGTTGTCGGGATGGGAAAGCAACGGTGCTTGGTGATTTCTGCTCGACTGGTTTTTTTTTCTCTCTTCACCCCTCTTGTCGAAAAAGCCCTGCACATTTCGGTGTCCCGTTTCCGAGCTTGAAAGGGAACGTGATGCTGATTGCTTGTTGCCCGCGGAAACTTTCACCCGAATGTTGTTGCCGCGGATTTCCTGGACAAAGAGGAGAGGAGAAAAACGCGGGACCAACTTGTGTGTGTATGTGTTCTGCTCTGGGTGCTCTACCATCACTATTGTGAATTTCTCTTTTTTTTTTTTTTCTTGTCCTGTGGCTCCCGACGAGTATGGGCGCGTTTTGGCACGTGTTGTCCGCACTGGTGTCGGCATCTGACGTGAATAACTCGACAGTGACGACTGGGGATTTCTGCGGGGTCTCGAGTTTTGTGCCGTTGGAGGCGAGGGCTGGGCGAATTGTCGGCGGCGATGTTGTGTCTGAACGCGGGGTTTGGCCCTGGCAAGTAGGTTCATTTTGACGATTTGTATTGGAATATTTCGGAGGCCTTTTTTTCCTCCCCAATTTCGAAGTGGATCCGTGTTTAAAGGAAGACTCGTTCGACTAAAATGTCGAATAGCGACATCTATCATTGCAGAATGAAGTGACGCACAAAAAAGCATGCCCCGTATTGTCGATTTTTTTTCAAGTCACATGTTTGGAATTGTTGCATCAATTCAATTTAAAGTTGATGCCAGTATGAAGAAAGACTCGTTTGTCGAAGATTTCGCATAGTTACGTTTATTTATCGAAAAGCGACATCTATAATTGCAGAATAAAGTTACGCGCAAAAAAAGCATGCCCCGTATTGTCGATTTTTTTTTAAGTCACATGTTTGGAATTGTCACATCAATTCAATTTAAAGTCGATCCCAGTATGAAGAAAGACTCGTTTGACGAAGATTTCGCATAGTTACGTTTATTATTAGTGGAAAAGTGACTCACGATAAATGTTCCAAGGAAAAAAGCGTTCATTTTATAAATTTTTCAAGTTGAAAAGTTTTGATTGTTTCCAATCCCAACGATATACTGGTGTCATAAATGTGTTTCTAATGATCATTCGGAATATTTTGAGTGTTCATTCAATTTGAAGTGGGTCCCTGTAAAAAATAAAAAAAACATCTAACGAAAATTTGCATAGCAACTTCTGTCAGTACCAAGAAAGTGAACCGCAAACAATTTATTTAAAAAAGCCTACATTTTAGCGATTTTTTCAAACGTTTTGACTTGATTTCTGTGATAAGTACTGGTGTGTTCCTGATGTATACCACGGATTTACTAGTGTCATAATTTTTTTCAATGATCATCTAAAATATTTTGAGTACTCATTCAAGTTAAAGTGATTGTTGCCTTTTTGAGCCCCAAAATTTGTTAATTTTCAGAAACTCGAGAAATTTGAATTCTGAACTTTTTGGTGAAGAAAAGTGAAATAAACTCGTTTTGCAGTTTTACAGTATTAGGTACTGTATATTTGTAAGTGTCACGAACGGATTGAATAGTTTGCGTTGGTTACGAGGGGAAGTCTTGTTTTACGTAGCGAAACTTATCTTGAAAGTGGAGTATTTTTGCACTTCCACAACCCGAAAGGCTATTACAGTAATTCGTAAACATGAAGGGGAAAATTCCTTTTTAATTTCATTGAAAGCATTGAGCGTTCTTATCAGTTTGAATATTTTTTTGTTTCTCTAGGTTTGATTTTCAACAGCTTAGTCAGTACTGCAGTATTTTCAGATTAAATTTGTTTACAAGGAATTTGAAACGGAGTAATCATGGGAAGTAGTTTCACGTTACTTAGTTTATGGGTTGGGGGGGGGGGGGGGGTCAATAATCTATTTTATGTAGCTTTCATGGCTATTACATTTTTCAAGAGATTGAGTCCATTAACCGAAGAAAAAATAATATACTGTACTGTACTGCTAGGTCTTATTCAATGACCAAGTTCTTTTCTTTCGCTCAAAGTTTTTACAAAATCCTCGAGGAAGCGTGAGAGAGACGGAAGTTGTGGAATGTTGATTCGTGAAGGAAATGGAATTTTTACGGACTCAGTTGTTCCAGCTCGGGAGGGACTTTTTTTTTCATTGTAAAGAAAGACGACATTGTTTTCTCTGCTCTAGTTTTTTTGAAGTACCGTACCTTTATTCCTTTGCCAATTATGCGTTTCAAAGCTTTCTCGAAACTTTTTTCTTCGGAAAACATGTAAACGCATTGCGATCTTGATTTATGGGACTTTCTTGTTCATCTTGTTGAAGATCTCTCTCCAATTCAATGAAGGAATCCCAATATAAAAAACAGTTTCTTATTTTTTTAATTTTGTTGGTCTTGGTTTTTTTTTGTTGCTAAAAAGGGGGAAATTTTTCTTCCGCGGACAAAAGTGAGCGAATTAAACTTTTTGGCGGCTTTTAGCATATCTTGAGCAGTAGAAAAGTTTCGTTCGATTTCAGCTTGTTGTCAAATCGAGATATAATGATTTTGATGAGAGTAGATACAGTACTGTTACGATTCCTCACTTGAATGAAAGAATAAAGTCCATCAACCGAGACACCACTTCGTTTTTTTTACAAGTCATCGAATATAGTCAGCCCGTGATTGATTTCGCTTTTAATTGGTTCAGGCGTCTTTGCAAGTTCTGCATCCCGTGCTGGGATATGTTGACCATTGGTGCGGAGCTGCCTTGATTTCACCCACATGGGTTCTTACTGCTGCCCATTGCTTTGTGGCGTAAGTGTCCGGGGTTCCTGGGGTTATCGCAACACATTTCGTGGGCTTTCTACCGCTGAAATTTAAATCCTGATATTTTAAAAAATTACTAAGTTCATGATCGAGGCGTGAAAGAACCGCTAATGTTGATACTGTATCAAGCTATCAACAATGGAATATATTTTAATTACGATTTATATTTCAATAGATTTAATGAGAGTTATTTTTAGATGTCTTCTGTAGTCACAGTCGTGATCCCTTGAGGTTTTCTTTTACATCTTATTCAAGAATTCAGGGATTGAATTAAAAAAAAAGACTTTTTAAAAGATAAATGAGGTGTGTTAATTTTTTCAGAGTGTTCAACGCAAAATTAAGAATGAGTGGAATCTAATGATAAGTTGAAAACACTTCTTCTCCTGGAGGTCTGTTGAAATACGTTATTTTGTAATTTCCGAAAGTCTCGTGAAAATCCCGCCAAAATCACGAAGCTGTCCCTGGTGTTTATTATTAATGGGCGAATTCGTTTATTACTTGAATTATTATTTTTTCAGTGATTTCTGTACGTCTGTAATTTTTTGTGTAATTTTTCTCAACCCATCGTATTGTGGAATATCTCAGCAACCCGGTTGAAAATAGCTTTGTTTTTACGGCTCGTAATCATTTCCAAATGAATTCAAGCATAGAAAAAAAAAAAAGGATTTGGAATCAGGGTTTGAAATGACTGAAGAGGCTCTTCGAATAAGATTCCGCGGGAATTGCGTGTATTTCAGACCATCTTTGTCGTATTCGTCGAGCAAGCGTTGGAGGGTTGCTGTGGGTCGGTCGAATCGGAGGATCAGGGATAGATTTACTCAGTTTGTCCAACCCAGAAGGATCCATATTCACCCTAACTTCACGGGTTACAACAACGACGTCGGTTTGTGCAGGTTTCATCACTGATTTGTCAACATTATTTTTTGTTTGTTTGAAGTCATTTGACCATCGGACTTTAATATTTCCGCGTGGGTGTTGAGAAGTTGTTCGGTATAAAGACATTCGTTGTAATGAGATTCCACTGTAATATCAATTGGAGTACCAAAAAAGAAAAATTTGAAAAGAATAATGCATTTTGCACATTTTAACTATTCTTCAATATCCATAGAGACGCTGAGTTGGGTGGTATCGACAATTAGTATATCTCCAAAAACAAGAAGTCACAAATTTAATCAACGCATCAATAGAATACTGAGACGATTTTGTTGAAATACGGCGTTTGTTGAGAAGTTCTTGGAGGACAATCCAAGCCGCAAAGATTTTTGATTTCATCCTGAAGTTATCTTCCGAAACTTGGGAGGGAAAGTGGTTGTTTACCCTCGGATTGTGTTGTCAGTTTGTACGCTCTTGTCTTGGAAATTTGCTTTTCAAATCCGGAACGAAAATTTCGCGCTGTTTAATAGGTGGAGATCACAGATATTTGGACGAAGTTGCGAATATGGAAAATTTGAGGACCTTTTCACAAAATTGCATGATTCGAATACGAGCTGAACAAGGACAGCCATGCTATATTTCTATGCATTTCCGCGTCCTCTTGAATTGCAAAAGTATTCGACTGCAATCATTATTGAGTTGGTACTGAAAATTGTGTGGCTAAATTTACGCCGAATATGCAGAGTTGGTAAAGTACTAATTTTTTTTAAACATTACCCGACTCGTTATTAAAGAGTTATTAACTCACTCTTCTTTGATCTAAGTTTACTTGAAGCTTAGTAAAACGCAGTCTTAGAAGTAAAAAAGCGTCTCCAACGTGACGAATTGCCACAGCTGTGTCAAGTGGAACTCTTTGTAACCCTCACTTGAGTCCAACTGTAGTTTATTTTCACTTCTTAAAAATTATATTTGAAATATAGTCCAAAATTGTCTGTGCCACACCGTAACGCGTGACGCATTTGGTTTTCGGTTAATTCTAAAGTTTGATTAGATGTAATACCGTATACCTTTGCGAATCTTTTTTTTTTTTCGATTCAAGGTATTCTTTTGTATCTGTTGAAGATTACTTTCAAGGGTCAATCAAGTACTTTATTACACTGTACCGTCGTTGTTGAACCTGGTATGTAAGTGAGAAAATCAGTTTTCTACTGAAATAAAAAAACGAAACAATTGATTCATCAAGTTTCTTTTCGGAAGATAACTTCAGGATGAAATCAAAAATGTTTGCGGCTTGGATTGTCCTCCCAAGAACTTCTCAAGTTTGCGGCATAAAGTTGTTTTAGCAGAGTCTTAAGATAACTACACAACTAATTTAAACACTGAAGAACAAAAACCTCTCTATGATTAACAGCTATGGTGGACTGAGTCGCAGAGATACCTATAACTGAAATAGTTAAAATATACAAAATTGCATTATTCTTTTCAAAATTTTCTTTTGTGGTACTCCAATTGATGTCACAGTGGAATCTCATTACAACGAATGTCTTCATAACGAACAATCGATTACGACGAAGTCATTTTTAGGTCCTTGTCTGATGGCCACCATTTTAAGTGAGTAACTCTAAAACGATTTTTTCACTACAAAGCTGTTCAATTGCTTCGTTGTAACGAGATTTTACTGTACAGTATATGTTTCGTTTTTGCGCAAAACAAATAGGTTTCAAGCATTATACTCAATTCAAATCTTGGAATTACCACGAAGTCCTTAGGACCAGAGAAAAGCTTCGTTAAAAAATTAAGATAACATTGTGGCTAATTGGTTAGGAACGAAAAAACTTGAATTCAGTACGGTACTGTATAAGCAATAATTCGAGATTCTACTGTACTGTACTATATTTTTTTTGAGGGGGGTTTTCAGGCTTGTCAAAAAAATTCAAATCTCCGCTCTTAAAAGTGATGGATGTCAAGTTTCGTGTTGGTACCACGTGACCCGTTATCGTGAGGTTTTCATGGGTGGGTACGATTTCTCGCAGCCCTGATTGAGCTGGACGTTGATGTGATGAAAAGTGCCAGAAAGGCCGGGCCTAACTCCACCCTGCTGCCTGTATGCTTGCCAAGGGAAGAATTCCGGGTCCCCGGAAATGATTCGGAAGTTTGTAAGCCCTGATTGAGCTGGACGTTGATGTGATGAAAAGTGCCAGAAAGGCCGGGCCTAACTCCAGGGACGACGGACATACGAACGGTTCCCTTCTTAAGGCCCAGGGGCCTTTACTAAGCCTTCAAACAATGCAAAGGCCAACCCCGGCCTATAGCTGGCTGCTGTTTGTGAACAGGCACCTTGACTCCGTACTCAAAATCCCGCTCTTGCCGACCCGGGAATGTTCCAAGTACGCGGATACGTATAAAATCAGGTTGGGGGACCAGCACTTGTGTGCTGGGGTTCGTGGGAGTAGCAAGGGTCCATGTGTGGTGAGTTTTTTCTGGTCGGGGAGCAAGGATTAGGTTCGACGGATTCATGTCTGGTAGGGTGGATTAATTGAACCGAAGTTATGAAATTATCATCCGAAAGATAGTTTTCTTGAAGTTTTGCGAGGTGTTGAATTAAAACAAAAAATTAATAATTGTCTGACTCAATGCGAGTTCCAGTATCAAAGCTCCTTCGTTTTTGGGCTGACATTTGAGAGAAAAGATGCTTTTAAAAAATGGTGTTCCCCATAATTAGGTGAGGATTTCATCAAGTTTCAGTGTTACAGTACAGTACTTCGATCCAATAAAACTATATATATATTTGGAGAAAAATCTATCCCAAGTACGGTACGACTGTATTGCTTATGTTTCTGCATCATTGTTTTTCTGACGATATCCCGATGGAAGAATAACTGGGAATGTTTTTTTTTTCTTTTTGCAATTTACTTTATTCCTGTTTTAAAATAATCAATCAAAAGAATTTCGGAACGCCTGTACTGGAAAAATCGACAATTTGTTCTACGAAAGAATATCGGGGTATCTTTTTCATCAGAAAAAGACCTGGATCACTGTGAATGTCCTACACTGAAGTGAAGTTTAATTGATTGAGAGCAGCTGAATTTACACTTACATGCTCTACAACTTTGGGGGTTACCTGGTAAACTTAACTTCAGTGATCCAGGTCTTTTTCCTGCTTCCTTCTGTAGCTGAGTAGTGGACTGAAAATTTATTAGACACCAACGAAGGATTGAAGAGCAAAACATAAAATTGCTCCCGCCTCCGATGACGGCAAGCGACCGTTCATCATTTTTTACGAACCAACCCTCGTATATAATATTTAAAACAAAGGAAACCAAAAAAACTCGTCAGAATTATTTACGATAGAAACCAGACGCAAGACGTTAATATTTTGACGAAGGAAACTATTCTGAGCACCGAAATCAACCGAACGAAAACCCGTCTCTCTTCTTGGGTGGTCATGCTTTTGCCGGGATGGAGGATTTTTTGCATTCTTGCAATGCGTTGTCAAACGATGTGATGTGCGAACAAAAGATTCACTGAAATTTAGGGCGACTCGGGAGGTCCTTTGCAATGCTTCCTTAGGACCGAAAACCGTTGGGTGCTTAGAGGCGTTGTCAGTTTCGGGGCTGGATGTGCGGATCCGGAATTCCCGGATATTTTCACGAACGTTTCGCATCATTTAGGATGGATCGACCGACTGATGAGCAAACGAAGGCAAGAACAAATAACGCGTGTATGGTTTGGGAGTATTTCAGGCATTTCCGTGTTGGAACTGCCCCCGTTTCATTTTTCAAATGCGTATAGACTCTCCATGCAACGATTTTCTCTCAATTTTTGTTGGACTTATATACTGTACAGTAAAATCTCGTTACAACAAATACCGTTACAACAAATTTTTCTGTGTAACAAACTTTTTCCAAGTCCTGAAAAACAGTTGGATGAAAAAAAAAATTACTTCGGAAAAACTCATGTTAAAGGGGTTGTATGCTTGAACAACCTTCTATTGATGTAACAATTTTAAGCAATTTAGGAACGTCCATCCTTTCAAATCCTTGCAGGAATTGCTTAGAAAATTTTACAAGTCAAGAAAAAGTTNCAAACGCCGTATTTCAACAAAATCGTCTCAGAATTCTATTGATGTGTTGATTAAATTTGTGACTTCTTGTTTTTGGAGAGATACTAATTGTCGATACCACCTGACTCAGCGTCTCTATGGATATTGAAAAATAGTCAAAATATACAAAATTGCATTATTCTTTTCAAATTTTTCTTCTGTGGTACTCCAATTGATGTCACAGTGGAATCTCATTACAACGAATGTCTTCATAACGAACAATCGATTACGACGCAGTCATTTTTAGGTCCTTGTCTGATGGCCACCATTTTAAGTGAGTAACTCTAAAACGATTTTTTCACTACATAGCTGTTCAATTGCTTCGTTGTAACGAGATTTTACTGTACAGTATATGTTTCGTTTTTGCGCAAAACAAATAGGTTTCAAGCATTATACTCAATTCAAATCTTGGAATTACCATGAAGTCGTTAGGACCAGAGAAAAGCTTCGTTAAAAAAGTCATGATAACATTGTGGCTAATTGGGTTAGGACCGAGAAACTCGAATTCAGTACGGTACTGTATAAGCAATAAGTCGAGATTCTACTGTACTGTACTATATTTTTATTGAGGGCGGTTTTCAGGAGATGCTTGTAAAGAAAAAATTCAAATCTCCGCTCATAAAAGAGATGTTAAGTTTTGTGTTGGTACCACGTGACCCGTTATCGTGAGGTTTTCATGGGTGGGTACGATTTCTCGTAGCCCTGATTGAGCTGGACGTTGATGTGATGAAAAGTGCCAGAAAGGCCGGGCCTAACTCCACCCTGCTGCCTGTATGCTTGCCAAGGGAAGAATTCCGGGTCCCCGGAAATGATTCGGAAGTTTGTTACGTTTCCGGTTGGGGCCGGATATCGACCGACGACAAACACTTGTCCGTGGAACTGAGGCAGCTCAAAATCCCGCTTTTGCCCACCCGGGAATGTTCCAAGTACGCGGATACGTATAAAATCAGGTTGGGGGACCAGCACTTGTGTGCTGGGGTTCGTGGGAGTAGCAAGGGTCCATGTGTGGTGAGTTTTTTTATGGTCAGGAAACGAAGGATTAGGTTCGACGAATTCATGTCTGGTAGGGTGGATTAATTGAACGGAAGTGATGAAATTATCATCCGAAAGATAGTTTTCTTGAAGTTTTGCGAGGTGTTGAATAAAAAGTAAATAAGTGAATTTCTGACTCAATGCGAGTTCTAGTATCAAAGCTCCTCCGTGTTTGGGCTGACATTTGAGAGAGAAGATGCTTTTTAAAAAATTGTGTTCCCCATAATTACGTGAGGATTTCATCAAGTTTCAGTATTACAGTTCAGTAATGTACTTTGATCCAATAAAAAAATATATTTCTAGAAAAATTTATCCCAAGTACAATACTGTATTAGAATACAAAGACGTAGTAACAAAAAGACTGCTATAGGGCTACCTTCTTATTGACCCTTACAAAAAAAAAAGAAAAACGTTAAATGAAATAAGGACAAAATTTTATTAGTTAGTTTTCTTAAAGCCTTTGCCTGTACTGGAAAAATCGACAATTTGTTCTACGAAAGAATATCGGGGTATCTTTTTCATCAGAAAAAGACCTGGATCACTGTGAATGTCCTACACTGAAGTGAAGTTTAATTGATTGAGAGCAGCTGAATTTACACTTACATGCTCTACAACTTTGGGGGTTACCTGGTAAACTTAACTTCAGTGATCCAGGTCTTTTTCCTGCTTCCTTCTGTAGCTGAGTAGTGGACTGAAAATTTATTAGACACCAACGAAGGATTGAAGAGCAAAACATAAAATTGCTCCCGCCTCCGATGACGGCAAGCGACCGTTCATCATTTTTTACGAACCAACCCTCGTATATAATATTTAAAACAAAGGAAACCAAAAAAACTCGTCAGAATTATTTACGATAGAAACCAGACGCAAGACGTTAATATTTTGACGAAGGAAACTATTCTGAGCACCGAAATCAACCGAACGAAAACCCGTCTCTCTTCTTGGGTGGTCATGCTTTTGCCGGGATGGAGGATTTTTTGCATTCTTGCAATGCGTTGTCAAACGATGTGATGTGCGAACAAAAGATTCACTGAAATTTAGGGCGACTCGGGAGGTCCTTTGCAATGCTTCCTTAGGACCGAAAACCGTTGGGTGCTTAGAGGCGTTGTCAGTTTCGGGGCTGGATGTGCGGATCCGGAATTCCCGGATATTTTCACGAACGTTTCGCATCATTTAGGATGGATCGACCGACTGATGAGCAAACGAAGGCAAGAACAAATAACGCGTGTATGGTTTGGGAGTATTTCAGGCATTTCCGTGTTGGAACTGCCCCCGTTTCATTTTTCAAATGCGTATAGACTCTCCATGCAACGATTTTCTCTCAATTTTTGTTGGACTTATATACTGTACAGTAAAATCTCGTTACAACAAATACCGTTACAACAAATTTTTCTGTGTAACAAACTTTTTCCAAGTCCTGAAAAACAGTTGGATGAAAAAAAAAATTACTTCGGAAAAACTCATGTTAAAGGGGTTGTATGCTTGAACAACCTTCTATTGATGTAACAATTTTAAGCAATTTAGGAACGTCCATCCTTTCAAATCCTTGCAGGAATTGCTTAGAAAATTTTACAAGTCAAGAAAAAGTTCTGGGATTTACGTTTTATTTGGAGAAAATGTTTTTGTAAACAATTGAATCTCTTTATGAAGATCACAGTTTTTTGAACGCTGAAAAACATGTGAAAAGGTCAATAAGGAGGATATTGAATATATGCTGGTCTAATGTGAAGAAAATCTTCATATCAGTCAATTATTTTTAAAATCTCGTTATAAAAAATTATTTGTTTTAACAAACTTTTCTCGAGTCCCGACAAGTTTTTTGTGAGAAGATTTTACTGTACAGTACTTTAATTTCCTCCCCTCCCCAGTGTTTTAGGGGTTCTTCACCACTATTTCTTCCCTTCCCTTGAATTTCGCTGTTGAAGGACTCCAAGCCCGCTTTACCTCCATGTCAAATACGTGTCTAACCAGTAAACAATCATTTTTTTCTACTCCATGTACTGCATTCTGATTCCTGAATAAATCGAACCAAATATAATAAGTTAACATATACGAGGGTTGCCCGTTGAACGCAACCTCGGTTGCTTCTAGAGTAGGTAAAATATTTTGCAGTCTTGACCATTATTATAGAGCAGTGTTCCCCAACCTTTGTCGGCCTGTGGACCGGCAAATTTCCATATAATTTTTTGCGGACCGGGGAATATTTCAAAAATTTTCTGCAGACTGGAAAAGTTTTGTGCATTTTTGCAGACTTGAAAAAGTTTTCCTTGAAAGACTTTATGACTGATATTTGAAAAGCTTCTGCTTTTTTTTCAATATGTTGAGAACCAATTAAGTAGTTTTGTTTAGTGGAATGTCTTCTAAGAGTTCTAACACTTGAGAACATGGACTTGAAGAAAGGTTTCTCAGAATAAAAACTAGAAATAGTTTATTTTAGCCGGTGATAATTTGTAAGAAAGTGGTATCCAGAGAAAAGCCAACTTTATTTTGCATCAGATAATTTCAAGATACATATTCTCTCCGGAATTTCAGCTAATGATAAACTTCCTCCTTACCTTTAATACATTCATTACGCTGAAGAAAATTTTCGCGGATCAGCTAGAAACTTTACGGGTTTGGGAGCACCGTTATAAAGGACTGTACAATTTTTTAGCCCACAATGTTGTAAAGTTCTGGCATTTTTTATTTCTTAAAAAGCACTTTAAATTTATTGCATGGCGAAAATTTTCCAGATGCGGTCCAAGTTCTCCACCCATATCACATGGTGTTTAGTTGGCCTAAATTTGTTAGGTTTATGTTTTATTGCTTTAACCATCATATACTCTACTGTACTCAAAGTCTTTAAAATCTTTTCGAAAATCAACTGGGAAGCTTTTACTCTAAGTGTTAATACCATGCATTAAATTAGTTCTTTTTAAATTCAAAAAACCCGAGAACCTTCCAACATCCTGGGCTATATCAAAGTTTTTCACAGTCATACCTACTCCAGAAGTATTGTAACCTTGGTCGCGTTCAAGTGGGACAACCCTCGTACATTCCCTGTCTAGCCTAAATTCAATGCGCAAGTCACAACTGCTGACGAATGAAATGACGGACTTGAACAGGCCTAACCTAGTATCATTGAGGCTATGATTGAAGCATAATGCTGTCGTGGACATTTTGGTGCGTGTGTTGGAAACATTCCATCAAAACCTGTATTTTTATTGTCATCAGTAGAAACATAATTGACTCTTTTCTTTTCCAGTCTTGGGCCACTATCCAGTCTGAAAGGATTCCCTGAAAATCTGTAAGGTTTCCGGCGGAGGACCAGAGAAGAAAAATCGTCAGTGTTTTCCAAAAAAAATTCCCATCTCCCCCTGTGTCGATTATTGTGAGACGCTTGACTTGAGTGAAAAATGCAATAAAGATGATTTTACGTTGTTACGAAGGATGGTTTCATTGTTTGCAGTAATTCTATAATTAACCGTTTTGATCCTGAATGGTGTTTTTTTTTTCGGGTGAACTAGAAAGGTGGAAAAGATGGAAACACATTCTTCTTCAGAGTTCCGCGCGGAGTAAGATGTTCTGAGCTTCAGAAAGTGAGTATCCCACATGTGAACTATTTTGGTGACTGAAGGAAAAACTAAGGAAAATACTGTATACTTACTGTATGACATGACTCTGTAAGGGAAGCAAGTCCATGAAGAAATTTTTTTAGCCAATAACGTTGGAAGCCTCAGTTCTGCATCAATGTTCAAATTTTTCCCATCTTTAGTTGTTCAGAAGTTACCCTGGCCTTTCAATTTTATTTCCTGCAGAGAAAAGGTGATCATTAAAAATAAAGCTGGAAACTTGTGATGCAGTAAAAGTGTTGCGGCATGTATGTGTCTGTTCGCCTCGGGGGAAAACGGAAGTGTTGACAAATTTCAAGAGAAAAATCCGAAAAAAAGGAGTACAGAGGTTTTCTTTACTGATTTTTGTTGCGAATTAGACTGCAATGCTGAAGAGAAGCAGTTGAATATAATTTGCATCCATCCTGATAGGTAACGTACGTCTTTTATCATGTCTGTCCATTTGGTTCAGCAGGTGTTTTTATTTAATTTTTATGCTTATACACGTATTGTGTTAGGCAAAATTAAAAAATGCTGTTCTCCAACGCAAAAAAAAAAAATGAGGAATCGTGTATACCCAAGAGAAACAATGCTTTGCATGCTATATTTCAGTTAATTTTTGACTTGATGTTGCTTTTGAGGACCAAAAATGAAACGTTAATAAATCTTTATCGATTAAAAAAAATAACATCGCACACTGGGCCGATACTTGAATCACCAAAATTCATGACTTGGGCTCAGATTCATTCCACGTGATTTTCTTCTCTTTCCATACTACAGTAGTTCACTAAAGTCCATCAGCTAGCTCCCTGTGGGTTATCTATGGACAGAAGAATTGAAAACTTATTTTTAATTTTTTATGTCTTCAGCAGAATACTACAGTACAGTACTTGAAAATAAAACCTCACCTGGTTTTCCAGAACCACTTCCTGATGACTGGAGGAATAAGCCATCCTCAGTTGGGTCATGATAATCTTGATGAAGATAATGATGAGGTGAGTTGGATGGGTGTTGTGTTAGCTTTGAAGACCGTTCTAACCAGTTTTGTCAAAACACCAATGAATCAGTTGGCATTTAAGCTTGCTACAACCAACTTCCAGGCGTCAAATATACAATTTATCACTAGCAAGAGTCAGAAGCTGCTGGAGATCAATGAAGTTTGCCAGCCAACCCACTACTGCTTTAAGAACTAGAAATGTACAAAATCAGGAAGGGGAAATATAAATTGGAATTAACCACTGCAATTTCCCTAGAATAGAATCACACATGTGCCTAATGCAAGACCAACTCTTTTGGGAGAAAAGTTCATTAGATTCTCTTTTCAGATGGAAAATAATTATCACAGGGGGTACTAAACCCCCTCCCCCCAATTGCATAATCTACTGTTATGCAATCAAATTGCATAACAGTAGATGTGACTATGTCAAATGCAATGGTTTTTTAAACATTGCAGGTGATGTTTTGGATCTCTCTGCAGGTTGGATTGTGGGGCAGAGTTCCAATTGCAAGTCAACCTTCCAGCAAATTTGATTGTCAAATTGTGGGACAGTCAAATTAATCTTCAATTATTTTGCTCAAGTTTCTACATAGACAAAAAGCTTGTGCAAATACAGTGAGTGAAAAAAATTGAGATCTTGTTACAACACAGCAATTTGGGTCTTCAAAAATCCTAGGCTAAATCAGTCTCATATGACATCTTAAGGTATATTACAGCTGAACCTTGACAAGTGAAAATATGATTTGTTGTGTTTATATTCCATTTTAGGTCAAAAATTCATGCAATACTGTACTGCTATATCTCCTCAGTATCAGAGTTATGTTGTAATCCCTGTATGAACTATGGAGGATAATTTACCATCAGCAGTAAAAAAATATTAGCCATGTCCAGATGGATGTACAGTACTGTACTTGTTTTACTGTCCCTATTTCCTGCAAGATCATGCGAGTTAAAACTGCTGTACTGAACTGTATTTAATTATTTACTGATGCACATTACAGTACTGTATTCTTAATTTCCTCGGATGAATATCCGTCTGCACAACTTGCCCAGCGAACATGGGTTGAGTAGCTGGTAAGGTCGTCGATGTTTACAGTACGGTAATCCTGCCCCACCGGTATGCGCAGAATGTAATCGCGTCGTCAGACGCGCGATGTTAGCGGAACGTTTGCGTGTGGATCAAAATCATTTGTATTAGTGAAGTGATCCCGTACACACATAACGTCTGTATACACACGTCCACGAACATAGTTGAAGAACCTTGACGAATAGTGTCGCTTCTGACAACTGCCTTTCAACGGGCTCACGTCTGTACTAGTGCTGGAGCATTTCACAACGTGTGCAGCGCTTGGGTCAGAGAAAACCTATTTTGAAGTCGTTGCTAAGTTTTACGAATGCAAATCTTTTCAGTTCATCGTATTGGAATGTGATTAGGTACTCGGAGTATGCTTCGAGTTCGATTTTGACGAAACATTGGGCGATTTTTTTTTTTATCTGGTAGGATCTTGCCCGGTTGGTTTGCTAAAGATTTATGCAACATTTTTCAATCGCAGAAATCATGATTTCGCCGCGTTCGATGTCCACTTTCCCGCTTTAGTTTTGCCGATCTGTCGAGAAACGTTTTGTTTCGGTTTTGACCTCTGGTGTACCGTCTTTGAGATGGCTGTTGCAAGTCAGCCTAATTCTTTTAAACATGACTTACGTAATGATTCTGATGTAGAGATAATTCTTTCCGCTACGGACTTGAAGGAAGGCAAAGAGGCTTTGACCGAGGTAAGTTGGTATGCAATGAAGCAGGGCATGCTGGGCTTGATCTGATTCCTCTTCATTTCAGATTTTCAACTCAGCTTTCAAGTGTGTCATTTGCACTGATCTCCCTACTCATGCCGAGTTATGTCCCCATTGCTCGCGCATGTTTTGTCGGGATTGCTTCCGTGGAAATCGGAAGAAATGTCCCTATTGCTTGGAAAAACTGCGGAAGTCCGGTTTGATACGGTAATTGTGCAATGGTCAATTTCGTAGAGAACCCTTGAGGGTTGCAAGGGCTCTTTTTGATACAGGTGTCGCTGGATTGGTGAGTTGATGATAAACCTGCAAGCAGTATTGTCTCAGGATTGGGGTTCAGCTTCGGAAGTCATCATTCCGTTACCTTCCGTGAAACTGCTTCTGGAGGTGAGAGTAATAACGCTGTTGAATGTTCATCTTCCTAGATTAAATTATTTTTTTCTTCAGAAAATTGAAGATACCCTCAAATGCCCTGTTTGCTACGACACCGTTTCGGATGCAAATATATGCCCGAAGTGCACGAAACTTTTCTGTGGACGGTGTGTTCGCGTGTGGGTTCTCACTCGAAGTCAGACATGCCCTTGTTGCGTCAACCCGTTGAAGGAAGATATGTTAATTCCGTGTCATTGGGCCGCAAATCTTGGGGTCATCATCGATAAACTGCTCGGAAAGCCTGCCAGGGTTCGTTTTCGTAAATATGTATACCTGTATCTCCCAATTTTCATCTTCTGGGCCGCTTACTTCGTTAACTTGTGCTGTCGCGCCGGGTACTTCAGGATTATGAAATTCTCGCGTTATACAGCCTTTCATATATTCCACGCAAATTAACGGTTTTGATGGAAAGGTAGAAGCGTAGAACTGAATATTTTTTTTCTAATTTTTAGCCGGAAAGTTTTCTGCTTCTTTTCACTGTTGCGTAGGGCTCAGTGAATTCCTCCGTATGAATTTAGCGAGAACCGTTTATATTTTGCACGAAAGTGAAAGATTTTAAACATATTGAGTAATTAATTATCGTGCTAGTTCTCAGATCTGATAGAACTTTCATTTATACCATTATATTGTATCTATGTTGACTAATCGTGAAGATTTTTTTTGCAGCTTCCCGACGATGATCAAAATTTCTTGAGACCCGATGAGGGTAGGAGCAATTCTGGGATGGAGATCAATTCAGACTCCGACGAAGAACCGGGCATATTGTTCATACCTGACGACGTTGACTCGGACATGTCCACCCAATCCTATTCTATCCCGTCGAGCACTGATGCGGATGAGCCATTCATTTCTTTTCCTGACGTCGATTCGACCGATTCCATGTCTGATTCTGATGATGCTGATTTCATTATCCCTGGGCGCTTCTCGCCTGCTTCTTCTCTTTCCGTGTTGCATTCGCCCACGCCACCGGATTGCTCGCCATTGCCTTGTTTACCGTCATCTCCTCTTTCTGCTGATGACGAAGGCGACAGTGATCGTCTCGTAATGAGTGAAACTGATGACGCCGCTCAAGATCCATCTTCGGATAGTGAAGGTAAATCTCGCATACCTCCGGGGTAGCCGCGATTTTCCGATGAAGTGAAATCTTCCAGCAAACTTTTGGTGACTTGCAAGACTTCTTTACAATTTCTCTTGACGAGATTTTCAAAATTAATGTCGGGGAAAATGTTCACATCAGACCTGCCTATAATCAATTGGATATTCCTTCTCTGATATTCTCGAATTTTTTAATAATTTTTTGAAAACTGAGTGTTCTTCTGAAAAAAATTAGCTTCAATCATGCCCATCAGATGCGCCAGTCTCCTCATTCTGCAAGGATGATGTGTGGAACCACGTGGAAGCATGTTTGTCATTGATTACAGCTTCCATCCATCCTACAAGAACCAGTCTGTTACATTTGGGATCAGAAATTTCAGGATCTGTGCCTAGAAATTTCTACCTGGAGAATCTATTCAACGTTCCTCAAAAAAAGTTCGTTATGTTGGAATTGGGAAGTTTGTTATATATTTTGACGTGCACTGTACGGACTTTCTTCTGGCACTTGAGAAAAGTTTGTTGTACGTGTACTGAAAAAATTGTTTTAATGGGTGTCTTAATGAGATTTTACTGTAGTAAGATAAAATATGTAAGGTATTTTCTATCCATGCTACTCACTTTTGGCCTTCGAAAAAGTGAATTATAACTCTAACCTCAAAAATATTTTTGAATTGAGAGGAAAGCAAAAAGTAAATCGAGCATGAAATTAGTTTTGGGATGTTATGAAATAAACTGTCCGTCACTCATGTCCTCGAAGTGACGAAAACCAGCTGTGAAAATACGTGCTGTAAATAATTCGAATAATAAAGGACCGGAAGATACTTGTGCAGTGATGTTCAAGTGCGTGACTGGCTGCCGAAGTGTGACGTGATCTCAAAGTTGATACTGTAATGGAATGAAATATCTAAGTGCAATAAATTGCATCATTTTCATTATGATTAGGGCTTAACAACTATCTTTTTTTTCGTCATGAAAGATTTGGGACATGAAAGCAGGATTCTGTCGCCTCGGAAATCGTTGTTCATAAGGTATCATTGTTCAAGTTCTGAAATGTTGAGACAGCCCGATAATATCGCTCAAAGAAAGGTTAGGTTATTCCTCGTCAGTTTTTTGAATTTGCGCGTAACGAGGACAACCGTCGTAAAAATCTTTCAAACGAAGCG